GCATTTATGACTCTCCAAAGCCTATTGAGAACACGCTGAAATTCTTGGACTGGCACTTGACAATCTCCATGATTTGGTTTCTTCTTGTCTTTCAAGCCTCATCCTTTGCTACATTCTACCATCTAATCCCCACTGTCTATTGAACAAAGTCTATGATCATTTTGCTCATGACTAGCACTATCACATTAAAAAAAATACAGGTTATCATATTAAATTTAAATTACTTCTGGGGGCTAGCTGGTGGTGGGGAGGCTAAGGTGCTGGATCCCACATGGCCGGCTGAGTTGTTTGAGTCCCAGACCTGGTGGCTCAAAAAACACGCCAGACTGCACATGTATGTGTGTCCAAAATCTCAAGAGAAGAATGGAGGAGAGGGGATTGCAGGGTGGCCATCTCCCCTGGGGGGTGATTTCTCACTTTCCTTCTCTCTATCTCTTATCTCTCTCTGGTGAGCACACATGCTCTATGGCAATATCTTTTTAAAAAATTGAATTACTTTTGGGACCAGCAGTTAGCGTAATGGCTATGTTGCTGGACTCCCACGTAGTCGACCGTGGTTTGAGCCCCAGACCTGGTGGCTTAAATTCATGCCAGACGCGTGTGCATGTGTGTCCAAGATCCCGAGAGGAGAATGGAGGAGAAGAGATTGCAGTGTGGCCATCCCCTCTCAGGGGTGATTTCTCATTTTCTATCTCTCTGTCTCTCTCTGTCTGTCTGGCGAGTTCACGAGCCCTATAGCAAAAACCTCTCCAAAAAAAAGAAAAAAAATTGAATTACTTTTAACAAAGAATAATTTTTGTTTAAGTATTTCTTATGCAATATTTTTATTTTATCTCAACTTAGAAGTGCATAGGCAATTAGAAATTACTCAAATTTAATTGAGTCCCTATATTATTAATTTGAATATGACAACCCTTCATATGCTCCTTATGAGGTTTCTCTTTTACTCCACCCTCTGATTCCAGTTATCATTTAAGGATCAGCTAAAGACCAAGTTTAACATAAACCCTTTTGCTTCTCTGCAGCCTTCATGGCATTGCTAACTTGAATGTCTTTTTTTTTTTGGAGAGGTTTTTCGCTATAGGATGCGTGTGCTCGCCAGACAGACAGAGAGAGAGAGACAGAGACAGAAAGTGAGAAATCACCCCCCGGGGGGATGGTCACGCCACAATCCCTTCTCCTCCATTCTACTCTCGGGATCTTGGGCATGCACGCACACGCACCCGGCATGAGTTTTAAGCCACCGGGTCCAGGACGCAAACCGTGGTCAACTACATGGGAGTCCAGCGACATAGCCATTACGCTAACTGCTGGTTCCCTAACTTGAATGTCTTTTATATTGCAAGCTTACTGAACACTTTTGTTTTTAATTTACTCAAAATGCTTTCTGTTAGATAACAATAAATATTTATGAATAAGTGAATAAATACTGGCATAATATTATTGAGTTGAATGTTATTATGAGTATAATGCTATTGTTCTCCATCAACTAAGACAGGCTTTATAGAAAGTCACCTAAAAGCTAATAAGGTAATGTAAATATTATTTATTCACATGTAACATGGCTTTGTGTTTGTTATTAAAATGTGTAATAAGATGGGAATTCCATATCAAATTGGTAAATTCATCAACTAAAAGTTAGAAGATTATGCCAGCAATCTCCTGCTTAGGAAACCAAAACCCAGGTATTCCTACTTTGCGACTGAGTGTATCCATCAAAAGTATTTGCCCAGTGCCTCAGACTCTAGGGGATGAACTCCCAGCTTTAAATATAAATGTAGGATACTGTATTTTCTCTTTCTGTTTAAATCAGGATGAAATCAGTTATAAACAGAGATCAAAATAATACCCTTGAATTGATTTCTCTCTTTAAAATCCAGCATGATTGACACTATAGACACCTACTAGGAATTACACTCCAGGAAAACTACAATTAGTAGGGTTAATAGTGATAATCTTTGCTCTGTGTAAGACACGTGCCATTAAGTACTACCACGAGACAACGCAGACTTACTGTTACATTGGGAGACATCAATGTGCTTAAGATCTTTCATCATTTCAACTCCCACTTTGGACCTTCAAAAAATAGGACAACATATTAACTACTGTGTATCCACCTAACACAGGTAACACAAATCACCTGCTCATGAGTGAAAAATAATGTTTAATTAAAAAATAAAAATTTATTTGATAAGTTTTCATTTACATTTAACCATTGTACATCTTTGCAGGGTACAAAATATAGTTTGCATGCATGTAGTGTGTGATAATCAAGTAAGGCTATTACCATGTGCATCATCTTCAATAAAGAATTATGTCGTGTAACTTTGAAAGGGATTAAGAGAAAATGAGGATGCATGTGCCAGACACAACAGGTCTAAATGGTACCAGATTCTCTGTTATGTCACTTCAGGTCCAATTCTGAGATGGGATAGGATCTGCATGTTTTTATGCTTACGGAGATTTATGCGTAAGGATGGTTAGTGGGTAGCAGGAGACTTGCTGAGTTGTACCATCAAAGATTAAAGAGAAGAAACAAATCTAACCATGCTTTTACTTACGCTAATGAGAGTCAGGGACTCCAAGATTGGATAACTAGATAGGATTCTGGAACAAATGCTGCTTTTTTTCATGTTTTGTGTCCACTCTTACTTCCTCTTAGCATATAAAGACTCTAAGCTTGATTTTGGAAACTGTTAAGAAAGGGATTGCAGAAAGCTAGCATTCCACTCTATCACCAAGCTTATTCCCAGGAGGAAAAAGGATAGTGGCAGAATAGGAAGGGAAAAAGAGATGCACTGAGCCCCGAAAGCTTACAGAAAGTTAGCGAATGAACAAAAAACTCAGCAACTGATAGGTGTCTCCGGGCTTGGCTCAGTTTTGGGTTTCATGGTGACAGATAGATACCCTTTACAAACCCTCACATTGGCCTGTGAAGAGACCCTGATGGTTCCTTCTGAGCAGTGAAATATTTTCCAGCTCAATGGGCAATAGGGAGACCAGGAAGTTGTTTTTTTGTGAGCAAGGAAAAGAAAAAGCCTGGGATTGGTGTAGCCTGGATTGATGGGGGAACATGTTTATATCCGAGTTTGTGGTGGCCTGTTACCAGAGGTTTCCAGCAATCACGGGGTCACAACCTGGCGGATATGACAGATTCTTCTGTTTTGAGCAGCATATACTGAGGATCTGATTATGAGATCAACTGGAGTTGACCAGTAGGAACTGGCTTTTTAGAATGATTACTCAGGCTTCAGTGTTGCGAAAGGATTAGAGAGAGGATTATTAGCAGAAGGGAAAGCAGTTGAGAGCCTAGTCTAGTAATGAAGATGAGATGATGGTGGTCTGAACTTGAACAGCGGTGCAAGGCATGGAGGGAAATGGAAGAATACAAATGATATGTAAGAGGCAGAGTCTTGGAACATGAAAGGAGAGATGAACGAGCCTGGGCGTTATCATGCACTTATCAAGGAATCCTTTTTCAGCAGAACATCTATAACCATGTGGCAGAATAGTGATTCACATGTTTTGTCAAACCTAGGTCTCAGGACCAGCAGATGGCATAATGGTTATGTTGTTGGACTCCATTGTGGTTGATCATAGTTCAAGTCCCAGCTCTGGTGGCTTGAACTCATACTGGGCACTTTTGCATACATGCCCAAGATCCTGACAGGAGAATGGAGAAGAGATTGTGGCATGGTAAAGCCCCCCTGGGGAGGGGGCAGATTTCTTGCTTTCTGTCTTTCTCTGTCTTTCCAATGAGCCCATACCCTATAGCAAAAATCTCTCTAAAAACAACAAAAAACACACCCTAGGCCTCTACTAGAAGACAGAACTGGATCAGAGAAGTATGGACATCTAATCAGAACCTTGAATAGAGGAGACATCTGAGAGGGTCATACGTGGCAATATACTTCTTCCTTGGAGCAACTTTTAGTTTATTTAAAAGTGTACTTACTTGTCAAAAAGGCTTTTTTCCTTGGCAGTAAGATAAGAAATTTCTCGATTCCTGGTGGTAATGTGAGTCAAGGCCTCACAGGGCAAGTGTTGAGGCTTCTCACAGTAGAAGGCTTCTTCATCTCTGTTGTCTAGGTATTCACACAATTCAGCACTTGAGTTCAGGGTCAGGCCACATTCAGCAAAGATGTGGGTGGTGCCATTGACAAATTTGCCTTTGAAAATAATTTTATCATAGCCTTGGTTCCTTGCTCTCCAGAGAGCCGATGCCCCTTCACTGGGGTGGATAAGCAAGAGAGACAGGGAGACCTGGCCCTCCCAAAACAGAGTGAAGCTGATAAGGTAGGTGCCATTGTTGAAGTCGGTCACCTTTCCTGAAGCACCTGCCTTCAGGGCTGGAGAGGACATCCTGGCCCTCAGGAAATCCCTGCCATATTCCTTCCTGCGTCCCAAGTGGTCCCTCACCTCCAGCAGGATGTCCAGCTGATCCCCCCTGCAGTATGTGTCTCGAGGGTTGAGGATGGTGGCTGTGCTGTGTGTGGCACTGGTGGTGGTGTTCACATCAGTGAAAGGTCTGGGTGGGATGAGCTGGTTTAGTTTCTCCATGATTTCCTTTATTCTTAGCTCAGTTTCTGTTGATGGTTTTAACAGGCTCAGTGGTGATATTTTAGGGGTTGAGGACTTCAGGTAGGCATTCTGGTGATGGAGGGAGATGGCTACATTTGCTGCAGGCCAAAGCTGAAGTGATAAAGAATGAGACATACTGGGAAAAGAACTTGTTCCTCATCAGTTTTACTTATTATACATTTTCATATTTATTTGTTATCATCAATATTATTTAAATGCTCTGACAATTTTGAATAAAATGTAAACATTGATGTTTTTACTTCAATATTTTAGAGAATGCCTGACTAAACTAAATCCAAAATACATAGCTCAGAGAATACTCAGGAGCAATAAATTGCTGCTGGTTCATTTGGTTTTCTGTTTCATGTACAGCTTATATCTAATAGGTAATTTCTGTTGGTGCTCCTTCTTTATATCTTTTACCTTTGCCTGATAGTCTTTACTTCCCTGACTGTATCATAGTTCAAGCCACCATCATTTATCTTCTGAGTTATAGTAGTCATCTCAAGGAAAAAGACTGTCTCAGTTTGCATGAAGATAGCCCTGCCTTCTTTCCATTTAATTTTCTTCATTGCAGCTAAAATATTCTTTGTAAAGCAAAACTCTGTTCCTGCCTCCTCCTTGGTTAAATCCCTACAGTGGCCTCTCATAACTCTTGGGAGGATAATGTTCCATATTAATATGGCTTCGTGTTACAGTTAGTTTTTAACTCTCTAGTTCTTGCTGTTCCCTTTCTTACATTCTGTTTTTTTTTAATTGCCAGAGATTGCATGTGCTTGCTACACACACACACACACACATCAAATGTGCATGTACACATACACACACACACACACACACACACACATATATATATATATATAGAGAGAGAGAAAGACAGGAGAAAGAACCGCCCCCCTACACACACACACATACACACATAATAGAGCATGGTCAGGCAACGGTCCTTTTTCTTCCATTTCTCCATCCTGTCAGGATTTGGGGCACACATGCACACACACCAAGCATATCTTTCAATCTGTTGTGTCTGGGGTTTGAACTGCTGTAGACTATGGATGGTCTACTTCCCCATGTACTGCACTATGGGAACATGGGCTGGCCTTTGACTGTATGTTTGGATAAGACTAATTACTTTTTCTTCTAGGAGCTGACCTTCTGTTTCTAGATTTCTTGTCTCCTCCACATTTCTCCCTAAACCATCTATAAACCTGTTCACTTCTCATTTAGAAATCATTACAACTTTAGATGTTACTTATACTTTTAGCACCAGACAGCTTTCTAGGTACTCAGATTCAGTCATTTGCAACCCTTACTAATAAGGTATACGTGCCAACCTTTTCTAAAAATATAATTCACAGACCAAAGTCCAGATCAACAGAGTCATAACACTAAACGTGTTTTTCAAAAGCCTCACAGGCAGCCCTATAGTTAGATACCTTTGAGAACATTGATTATAGACAAGTGATTGTCAACCTTCTCTTTTAGAAAACAATCAGTGAAACCCTTGTGATTGGGTTTCACCATCAGAATAAACCAAAGAGGTGAGAAACAAAGAAATGTGATAAAATAAAAATGAACCAAACACAGGGCCCACAGGTTGCATGGTGGCTTAAGGCACTGGATTCCCACATAGTCAAGAGTCTCAGAGCTGGCTATTTGATAATCACTATGGGTACATGTGTGTGCATGCCTGAAATCCTGAGAGGAGCATGGAGGAGATGGGATTATGGTGTGGCCATCCCCCTGGGGGTGATTTCTCACTTTCCCTCTCTCTTTCTCTCTGGTGAGCGCATGAGCCCTATGTCAAAATCCTAAATAGATAAATAAATAAAACATAAATTGAATCTTCAGAAAAACTTATGATAATGGACAAAACTTCGGTAAAGTCAACCAAGAAAACAGATACAAATAAATAAAATCTCAGATAACAATCTTCTCATATATCTCTGGAAAATAAGAAAAAGTCTTACTTTGCACAATGGAAAAATAGGGCAGAAAATAGCCACAGAATGTATAAAATAACAATAGTAATAATACAATTGTCATGAAGATTAATATTATTTTATTTTTCTCACTTCTAAAAGTCACATTGAGATGATTTTTTCAGTGAGTACAGATATCCCTAACTTTTATAACAGGAAAAGCTAATTAATTTTATGAGAGGGGAGTACATTTTATAATACAACCTGGTAAACAAAATACAATACAATAGAGGCCTCTTTCACTGGTGAACGTGGTCTTTAAATTCTCTCTTTCCCCATATGGAGATAGACAGATTAGATAGATACAAATGGTCTCTGACTTATGATGACTCAACCTACAATTTTTTGACTTTATGATGGTACATTCAGTAGAAAGCATAATTTGAGTCCCCATTCAACTACTGTTCTTTATTTCAGTATAGTCTTCAATAAATTATGAGATATTTAATACTTTAAAAAATAGGGGGAACCAGCAGTTAGCGTAATAGCTATGTCGCTGGACTCCCACGTAGTCGACCGCGGTTTGTGTCCTGGACCCGGTGGCTTAAAACTCACGCCGGGTGCGTGTGCGTGTGTACCCAAGATCCCGAGAGGAGAATGGAGGAGAAGGGATTGCGGCATGACCATCCCCCCTGGGGGGGTGATTTCTCGCTTTCTGTCTCTATGTCTCTCTTTCTCTGTCTGTCTGGCGAGCGCACGCGCCCTACAGTGAAAATCTCTCCAAAAAAAAAAAAAAATAGGCTTTGTGTTAGAGAATTTTGCTCAACTTTTGGCCACTGAAAGCATATTTAAGGTAGGCTAAGCTAAGCTATGATGATAGGTTTTGTATATTAAATGCATTTTTGACTTATGATATTTTCAACTTACAATGGATTTCTCAGGGTATAACCCTACGGTCAGTCACAGAGAGCATCTATATAGACGAATATAGATGAGTGTGTGTGTGTGTCTGTATCTGTCATGGTTGATTGTATGAATTAATTCAGGATTATAAAGTTGTTTTACTGTATTAAAACATCTTTTAAAATATTAGGTCATTGGGGACCAGCAGTTAGCGTAATGGCTATGTTGCTGGACTCCCACGTAGTCGACCGCAGTTCGTGTCCCGGACCCGGTGGCTTGAAACTCATGCCGGGCGCATGTGCGTGCGTGCTCAAGATCCCAAGAGGAGAATGGAGGAGAAGGGATTGCGGCGTGGCCATCCCCCTGGGGAGTGATTTCTTGCTTTCTGTCTCTCTGTCTCTCTCTGTCTGTCTGGCGAGCGCACATGCCCTATAGCGAAAACCTCTCCAAAAAAAAAAAAAAAAATTAGGTCATTGGAAAAGTCTTGACATGTTTTTCTATAAAAAACAATGTGTCATGACTTTCTCAATGACCCAATAATTTATTCATTAATGACTTAAAAATATATATATGATTTTTCATTGTTTTTAAACTTATCTGACTGGGATTGCAGTTCTCAGAAAAGTATTTAATGTATTTCAACATTTATTTGGCTTTAAAATTTAATAAATGAAAAATCTTAAACATTTCCAAAGTTAAGAAGACAAGGATATTAGCCCACCAACTGAAACTACGTTTGACATAATCTTAGAAAGCCTAAACAATAAAATGATACAGAGAAGCAAAAGACTCAGAAGTATAAGAATTTTAAGGGAAAAATCAGACTTTCCTCCCCCTTTTCTCTTCTTTATTTTGTTTTGTGTAGATGTGGTGATTGTCTACAGAGAAAATCAGAGCTATCGACTTATTATAACTTATAAAGGCAGCAAGGAGTTGAAAATAAAATAAGCATAGAAAATCAAAAGCATTTTTCTGTACCAATAATAATTATGAAGAAATACAGTAAAAGATAAGCACTATCTTGGTGGGGAGATTCAACATGATTAGATTTCAAAAACTGATTTTGAGTGAAAAAATTAAAAAGCTATGTAAATTTAAATTAATATACACACTAACATATAACTATGTATCTTTCAAGGCCATATATATCCATATATCTAAATATATATATTGGATTAGAATCCAAATGCTGTGATGAATAAATAGTGTAGAATAACTTCTCATTGCAGATCAGAAATGAGAAGATGGGTGAGAGAGTAAATGAAAAGAGAAAAAGAGAGTTCTGTTTCATATTTAGTCAAGTAGCTTGTGATGGACTGATAGTTCTTCAAATAATTATTATGAATGAATTGGAAAGGAAACAATAAAACTGTCTTTATTCAGGGAACCAGCAGTTAGCGTAATGGCTATGTTGCTAGACTCCCATGTAGTCGACCGCGGTTCAAGTCCCGGACCCGGTGGCTTAGAACTCACACCGGGTGCGTGTGCGTGAGTGCCCAAGATCCCGAGAGGAGAATGGAGGAGAAGGGATGGCGGCGTGACCATCCCCTCTGGGGGGTGATTTCTCGTTTTCTGTCTCTATATCTCTCTCTCTGTCTGTCTGGCAAGCGCACGCGCCCTATAGCAAAAACCTCTCAAAAACAAAACAAAACTGTCTTTATTCACAAATGACATGATTGTCTAGTAGAAGCTACCAAAAGAATCTACAAAAGATGGCTGGAACTGATGAGTGAGTATAGCAGGGTTTCAGGATACGGTGTCAACATATAACATTCATTTTCTTCCATACTATCAATAAACAATTGCAATTAGAAATTTAAAAAAGTAAAAATTTATAGTAGTATGAAACAAGTGAAGTACTTAGGTATAAATATAACAAATTATGCACAGGATTTTTATGTAGAAATACTGATGGAAGAAATAGTAGATCTAAGTAAATGTAGATAGATTCAATGTTTACAGATTCGAAAGACTTGATATTGTCAAGATGTCAGTTCTTACCAACTTGATTTATTGATTCAATGTAATCTCAATCAAGATCCCAACCATTTTTTTTGGTACATATCAACAAACTGTTTCTAAAATTTATGTGGAAAGGCAAAGCAACTAAAATAGCCAACCCAATTCTGAAAAAAACACCAAAAACCCAAACCCAAAATTTAAAGACTCACATGACTTCATTTGAAGGCTTACTACCAAATTACATTAGCAAAGCAGTGGGTATTAGTAGAAGAATAGACATAATTGATCAGGGGAACATAACAGAGAGCACAGAAATAAACTCATATAAATATAGTTAACTGATTTTGGACAGAGGTACAAGGGTAATTTAATGGAAAAATGGTAATCTTTTCAACAACTAGTCCTGGAACAGATAGACATTTATATGCAAAAAATGAGTCTAGTCACAGACATAATTTATGCAAAATTTAACTCAAAATACATTATAGATTTAAATATAAAATCTAAAATTTCCAGAAGAAAACATAAGTGAAAATCTGTGTGAACTTGTGTATGAAATTTTATATATACCATAGAAAGCACAATCTAAAAAAGGAAAATCAATTAATAGGACTTTACTAAAAACAAACTTCTCACCTATGAAAGACACCATTAAGAGAATGAAATGACAAACTATAGAATGGAATAAAATATTTGTCAAATATATATCTGATAAAGGACTTGATCCAAAATATACCAAGAACTTTTAAAACTTGGGAACCAGCAGTTAGGGTAATGGCTATGTCACTGGACTCCCACATAGTCGACCGCGGTTCGTGTCCCGGACCCGGTGGCTTAAAACTCACGCCGGGCGCGTGTGCGTGCGTGCCCAAGATCCCGAGAGGAGAATGGAGGAGAAGGGATTGCGGCGTGACCATCCCCCTTGGGGGGTGATTTCTCACTTTCTGTCTCTATGTCTCTCTCTGTCTGCCTGGCGAGCGCACGCGCCCTACAGTGAAAATCTCTCAAAAACAAACAAACAAACAAACAAACAAACAAAAACTTAACAATAAGAAAAAAAGCAACTTAATTAAAAACTATGTAAAATATCTGAATGGACTCCTCACCAAAGAATATATACAGATGACAACTAAACATAAAAAGTCATGTTAAATGTTTGGGAAACATTAAGTAAGATAGCAATGAAATATTATTACCTATCAACCAGAATGGCTAAAACTGAAATCAGCAACAACAATAACTGACAATGCAAATTGCTGGTGAAAATGTGGAGCAGTAGAACTCTCATTCGTGGTTGGTGGAAATCCAAAACGGCACAACCACTTTAGACAACAGTGCAACTGTATCTTATGAAACTAAACTTAGTCTTACCATGCAATCAAGTCATTGCTCTTGTAAGTATTTATTCAGTTTCTTTGAAAACTTATGTCCACATGATTACCTGCACATGAATGTTTATAGCAGCTTTATTCATAGCTGCCAAAACCTGGAAGCACTCAAGATGTCTTTCAGTAGGTGAAAGGATAAACAAATTGTAGTACATCCATACAGAAAAATATTCAATAGTTAGAAAAATGAGCTGTCAGTCCATGCCACAACATAGATGAATCTTAAATGTATTTTGCTAAGAGAAAAAAAGCCAATCTGAACAAGCCATGTACTGTATGATTACATTAATGTGACATTCTGGAAAAAGGCAATACTATAGAGCTTGAAAACCAATCAGTTTCTGCAAGGAGTTTGGAGAGGGGAGAGGGTTGAATAGATGAAGCATAGGGGAATTTTCAGTGCAGTGAAATTATTCTGTATGATACTAAAGTGGCAGCAAAAACAAGAGAGAGAGAGAGAAAAAGAGTGGATCACTCCTATAGAAAAGCATCAAGCCAGATTGGTGGAATTTTATCAACTTTAAAAGATCAATTTATCCCCATAGTACTTAAATAACTTCAGAGCACTACAAACAAAAACAAAGCAAAAATCTTCCAGATTGATATCATGAAGAGGGCAAAAGTCTAAAATATTTCCTAAAATCCAATAAAAATTATACCACAGGAAACTATAGATTTACAAGTATTGAGGCAGAAATCTTAAATAAAATATTAGCAAGCAGAATTCAAATAAGCCTTGGAAAATAATAATACATCATGGTCCAGAGAGTTTTGTTCCAGAAACACAAATTTGGTTCAGTTTTTAATGTGTGCATGTGTATATATATATATACACATATATATATTTATAATATTTATGAGGAGACTTCAACAAGTTCATGGGGAAATGGAATTAAAATACAGATGTTGGTGCAAAAAAGTGAAATAGATGTATAAATTTTTTTTTGGAGAGATTTTCACTATAGCGGGTCCGGGACACGAACCGCGGTCGACTACGTGGGAGTCCAGCGACATAGCCATTACGCTAACTGCTGGTTCCCTAAATTTTTTATAATATATATTTCATGAACTTTTTGAAGACCCCATGTGTGTGCAAAACATAATATATATTATGCCCATAATCCATCAGCTAGTGTAAAAAAATACAATAATAAATGTATAGATGAACAAAAGGACTTTGACAAAATGAGTACAAATTCATATTAAAAACACTCAAAAAGAAATGTATGAGTCCTTTTCTACACATAAAATATGTACTTTAACTCAAAAGCTAGCATAGTAGTTAGTGGAAAACACCAGTGACTTTGCCGCCCAAATCAGGAACAAGACAAGGATGCTCACTGCTCTTACTATTTATCACTGCAATCAAAGTATTAGCTAACACAGCTGGACAAGAAAAAACAATCAGAGACATTGAACTGGGAAGGAATAGTTAAAATAATTTTTATTTTCAGATGCAATGGTTATTTATCTGAAAAAATCAAATATATCAATGAAAAAATAAATCAAATGCAAATATATCAACTAGAAACAATAAAAGAAGTTAGTAAAAAAAAGCAGGTAATAAAATTAACCTATATAAATCAATAGGCTTTACAAATAGAAACAAAACCCTGAGAAGATAAAATTGAAGAGACAATCTGACACTCATAGCAAAATGACAGTAAAATACTTACGTGTAAATTGAATATGAGCATTCAAGATTTATATGAGAAAATCTTAGAAAACACTACTAAAGGAAATCAAATTGAGCAAATGGAAAAGAAACCATGTTCTTGGGTAGAAAAACTTAACATCATAACGGTGCTGTTTATTTCAAAGTTAATTGATACACTTAATGAAATCACAACAAAATGATCCTCAATATTTTCTGGACTAGGCAGATCATTAGAGAGTTCACTTGAAAGGATAAATAAAAAACAGTCAGAAAATGTTTGGCCTATACAAAAAAAAAAAACAAAGGCAGGGATGTTGGATATGGGTAGGACTGGCTCTAATAAATCTTAAAACTTATTTGTAAAATCTCCACAATTAAAATAATAGTTTGGTGCATGAATAAAAAGACAATGGAACAGAATAGAAAATCACATATATGTATACACACACACACAGGTAATTCCATTTTCTTTCTTTTTTTAGTTTTTAAGTTTTTGCAATAGGGCACATGAGCTCACTGGAGAGAAGAAAGTGAGAAATCTCCTTCCCCCAAGGGGGAGGGCCACACAGCAGTCCCTTCTTCATTCTCCTCTTGGGATTTTGGGCACACATGCATACACACCTGGCATGGTTTTCAAACCACCAGGTCTGGTACTCAAATTATAGTTGGTCATGTGGGAGTCCAGTACCTGAGCCACCAAGTTACCTGCTGGCCCTTAATTCAGTTTTTATGGAGTCAGCAACCAAAGTGAATGGTGGTATAGGATGGAACTTTTAATAAGAGAATTAGGACAATTAGACTGACCTATGGAAAATTTAAACTAGATCAATATCTCATACCATTCAACAGGATAAACTGGATCAGATATTTAAATATAGACAACGGAACTCTACAAGCTAAAAAATAAGAAAACATGGATAATCTTAGAGTAGGAAAAGCTTTTCTAACTATGACTGAACATCAAGAAACAATAGGGGGACTGGATTGCTTGAAAACAAAAGGTAACTTGTGCATGGAAAAAGAAATCATAGGCAAAATGACAAACTGGATTTAAATGATCACATAATATAAGCATGTGGATTTAGAGACAACGTAGTTATTTAGTGACAAGGAAGTTGGTTGCCTTAGGAAAGGTTATTTTGGGGGCATGTGGGAGGTGGGATCCTGACTGGGATGGACTGAGGATGCATGGGAAATGAGGAAGTGGAGAAAATGTCTACCATGCCCCTGAGAAGTGAGGTGGAGAAAGGAAGAAGAGAGCAGACTGAAGTAGGGCAGGAGGGACAGGCTTTGTTGACCAGGGCTGATTTGATACAGGTCACACAGGTGAGGACTTCACATCCATCACTGTTCCTACCTTTGCAGAGTTTTGATAAATTACAAAAATCATCCAGGTCCCTGCTAAAAAAGCTATCAACACCAGCATTTTTTGAAGCATCGCAGTTGAAGACATGATGGGTACCCTAGGAGAGATGACACAATGGAAATTGTGTGATAAATGAATCTTGTACTCACTCATTGCTTCATTTTTAATTTGTCTCTGAGACTTCATTCCTTCTTTGTGAACCCCTCTCTTCTGTCCTTCTCATTACCAACAACTCATAGCCCCAACCCCTTTGCCCACCTCCTGGCTACTTTTCATGCGAGTTTTGGTTAGCATAGTTGCTTCCTCCTTTCAGAACCTGAAATGGGAATCAGATGTCCTCATGTTCTTTTATTGTATTCAGTACTTTCTCTCTTGTAATACTTAATTACAATGAGAAATGGGGCCTGGATTGCTAAACTATTATTCAGCATGTCTTTTGGGTGATAGCTGATGAGACCATAAGATATGCTTATGGGGCTGGCCCCATGGCCTAGTGGTTAAGGGAGCCAGATCTGACATGGCCAGCCACGGTTTGAATCCCAGTCCCAGCAGCTTGAAAACATGCTGTGTGTGTGTGCTTGCATGCCCAAATCACAACAGGATGGAGGAGAAGGGATTGTGGTGTGGCCATGCCCCATTGAAGGGTGCTTTCTCCCTCTTTCACTCTCCCTTTCCCTCCGGCAAGCACATGTGTCTTCTGGCAATTGAAAAAATTATTATGTTATAAAATATAATCTGTAAAATGTCCTTAAAGGGAATTGACTCTGCTAACTGGGCAGGAATGTGTAGTGGGTAGCTATTGTTTTGCTGGTTATGGGAACCTAAGAAAGGATGGCTGAAGCAAAGTAATGCAAAATATTTTATTTGGGTCAGAGTTAGGGCTATTGCCTAGACATCACAAAATCCAAGTTGATCTGATGATGTATGCCAAGGCATTAGAGATTTTAAAGAAAAAATTCTCAAATCGAAAGTGGAGGAGGGATGTAGTAAGTTTTGTAGAGTGGTGATTGGCAAGTTCTGTGATAAGTGAGACAGGATGACCTCGTGATCACTTGAAGTCACTTTGCTTAATCTTAAAATGTGGAGATAGTGAGTCTGTTAGGTGAAGGAGAAATGTATTTGAGCAGTTAGAATGTTCATAAAACAAAAAGTTCAATGAGTTTGGGTTTGTGTTTTGAACTATTTCAGGTACATAGTCTTATGAAAGTCACAAAATGTCCTTAAGTTTTATTTCTTTATACCGCTAAGGTAGACTGGCATCTTCTGGCTTCAGAAAAAAATGTCTATTTTGGGGACCCATCAGCTTCCTTAAAGTTTCAGTTTGATCACACAATATTTTAGCATGAATGACTTCATTTTGGTCTGATTTGTTGGAGCTTAAAACAGAAGCTTAGTCCAAAACAATGACCTCCTAAACATTAAAAAAATTATTGCCAGAGGGCATGTGCACTTGCAAGAGAGAGAGAGGAAGAGGAAGAGGAAGAGGAAGAGGAAGAGGAAGAGGAAGAAAGCACATCTCAATGGGGCATGGTCATACTATAATCTCTCTCCATTTCTCCATCTTGTGGAAATTTTGGGTACACATGTACACACGCCTGGTGTGTTCTCAAGCTGCTGGGGCTGGGGTTTGAACTGTGATCAGCAATCTGAGATCCAGCTCCCTTAACCACTAGGTCATGGGGCTGGCCTTATGATTTCTATTTCAAAGTGCCAAGTAAGAAATTTGAAAGTAAAAACTTCTTTGAGATTGAATTATTCTGTGTAATGAGGAAGAGACAGTCCAATAAAGCTAGGTATTTTAGAAAAAGAAAAAAAAAAGGAAAAATAAGGTTGGCAAATTTAGTTAGGGGAAGAAAGTGTGAGCGAGGGAAGAGAGAGAGAAGCCCCTCCCCTCCATGCCTATGGTAATGTGGTCATGGAGAACAGAAGTAAAATATGCTTTATTAAAATATGCTTTAAATAGCGTATTTGGAGGTGCAAGATGTAAAGCCCCTGCTTTCTGTTTCTTACCACATCCTTGGTGATGTCTACATTATGTGAAGAGCTTTTTTATTACTAAGTATGGTGGAACATAAAAAGGTTCTTTGTTTTAAATCTGGCCAATGCAGAACGAAAACAAATATTTTATATGCAAAAATGGAAGACAGAGAACAAAGGTCAGTTTCAAGCTAGTTAACCTTTGGGGGATCCGAGAAAAAATGGATTTAAATAAGATGCATCACCCAGTGCTGTGTCTTGTGGAAACACTGCCTACTACTGACCCACGCCTTCCAAATGATTACTGAAGCATGGTGGGGTGGGCAGAAACTTATAGAGGTGCTGAGTTGTGGGTCCAGATTAGCACTGGGACAAAATGAATGAATGCAGGAGAGAGGACATGGGGATACCGCTAATCTAGGTCACACACGCTGTTGCAATGATTTGTTTTCTTTACCATCATTGACTCTCAGTTATTTATTTTTTTTTTTTGGAGAGATTTTCACTGTAGGGCGCGTGCGCTCGCCAGACAGACAGAGAGAGACATAGAGACAGAAAGCGAGAAATCACCCCCCAGGGGGGATGGTCACGCCGCAATCCCTTCTTCTCCATTCTCCTCTCGGGATCTTGGGCACGCACGCACACGCGCCCGGCGTGAGTTTTAAGCCACCGGGTCCGGGACGTGAACCGCGGTCGACTACATGGGAGTCCAGCGACATAGCCATTACGCTAACTGCTGGTTCCCGACTCTCAGTTATTGAAAAAAAGGCAATGAAGTCTATTTCAGCATTGTGTACCCAGGTACATAATTCCTGGTAAATAATATTAGCTGAATGAGGAGTTTATAGAATCCTGCTTTTCAGACTGACTTCAGTTTCTGTCCACTGAGATGTCATGTTTTCTCAGCATGTACCAGTAACATGTCAATCAAGAAAAATGAATCAGGGTCAAGGGAGTACCACCTCTCTCCTTAGTATCACATCTCTCCCTAGACTTAAAAGTCAGTCTGGGTTCTGACTTTTAAGTGAATTTTGTAATATGTGAGTTAAAATATCTGATCTTATTAATTTTTTTCTTACCTAGAGAGAAGTGCACATAAGTAAGTTTCAGCAATGTTGAGGTGGAGCAAGAGAAGCATGGTTACCATGAATCTTAGACTTTCAGGATTAGCAGATGGCACAGTAGTTAAGGTGCTGGATTCCCACATGGCCAACCATAGTTTGAGTCTTGAACCTGGTGGATTCAAAATCATGCTGGGCACATGTGGGTGCATACTCAAAAATCCCAGGAGAAGAATGGAGGAGAAGATATTGGGGTGTAGCCATCCCTCTTAGGGGGTTATTTCTCACTTTCCCTCTCTCTGTCTCTCTCCAGTGAGCTCATGTGCCCTATGACAAAAACAAAACAATCTTAGATTTTCAACCTTGTTTTCAGAGGTTGTTAAGCTTATTTTGTTTATTCATTTTGAGAAAGGAAATTATATTAGTAAGGTATTTGAAATTAATTAGCCTCCCTGAAGGCTCTGAGCTATGCTTATAGTGACCTTTTGACTCTTAGGGAATTTAGAAGAAACCCTCAATTTGGTTGAGGTTTCTTGGACCGCTTATTCTGGGTTTTGACACAAAAGATTGCTGTCCTAGAAACCTGATTAGACTCGTGCTAAAAGTAATGTTAACCAACATAAATCCTTGAGAAGAGACTAAAAGATGATCTAAAAATGAGGAAGTTTGGCTACGACTAGCCTGGCAGAGAAAAATGAATGAAGTCCCTGTTAGGTCCCTATGCACCTGTCTGAAGAAATGGTTTAAGGACACTTCTAGACAAAGAATTCACTGCCTAGGTGGCATTAAAGTAAAAATACCCGAAAGTCACCAGAGACTGCACATTGTTTATTGTAACCCCATTTCTGGCCTGTAGCGATGTTACGGAAATGCATGATATGTGAAACATAAAAAGCCAATCCGAAACTTGTGTTGTTCCTGTAAACCAATGTTATGAGCACTTGGAGGAAAATAAATGTTTGTAACCCTCCTTCTTTCCCATTTTCCCTATAAAAGAAAACTCCAAGCTCTGCTATTTTGGAACATGGGTTACACAGTTTACTGGACCCTGTTTTCCCCAAAGGCATTCACCTGTTTTGACTTGACTAAAGCTTTCTACTTGCCCAACAAGCTTGGGTCAGATTTCTTTAGTTCATGTTAATAATTCATTTGAAAAAAGCATATTGAGTACTTATTCCATGTGTTGTCAGGTGTCCGGAATGTACTAGAGATAAAGAGAATCAATAAAATGAATTAAATAACCATATCTTGAATTAGAATCCAGTGGCAGAAATACCAGTCCTTGTTGGGCTCTGAACTAACCTTATTCTTCCATGGTCCTCGGTCTTTGCCTGCACCCACCCCAAATTCTCATCACCTCTTCCCTCGCTGCACCACTTCCAGCAACCCCTAGCATTTTTCCTGGTAAATTTGGAAAACTCCCATCCATGGTTTGAATTTGAGCTTGAGTATTGACTGGTCTTTTCCTTAATAGTTTTAGTTAATTTTTTCCTCTGTGCTTCCAGTCTACTGCACCTATCTTTGTTATGATGTGTGCTGTGCTGTGTTCTATTTCCTCAGGTGTCTGTCTGTTCCTACATTAGGTGACTGGATATTCCAGAGGAGAGTTCTTCAGAGATGCCCACAGGCAAGAAGAGAATCACCTCCGGCGGAATCTACCTTGGATTGCTGAACCAAAAATAATTGCAAATCAGAATTCTTCTTGGAACCTTACAGCCAACTCTCGTTTATTCCCCAATCAGTATCTTTCCTGGATTCTCCTTACCTCATACTCTGCATCTCCAGATGTCTCTTCAGCATCTCTACTTGGAAATCCTAACTGGTGGAGGTGAGCTAAACCCAGTCACGCTAGTTTATGAGAGTCTGTGGTGCATATTCCCATTATCTCTTTGTAACTCCTATTTTAGTGATAACAGCTTGGTGGACCACATAGGCTATGATGATTATTTGCATCATGGAAGTTAGCCAAAGCTGCAAACAGATTTTTGTCCTTTTGTTTCCCTGGGAGAGCAGGTTTATCAGTATACCCCTACTCATAGGAATCTTAAAGTCAACTTGTCCAGTTGTAATTTTTTTCTCTTCCTAAACGTCCTCTGCCTCCTTCTCTCCCTGTCTTGGTGAATGGGATCACCAAACAGAAACCTGGCCACTATCTCTGACACATTTGTCACCCTTTAGCTCTGTCCAGTCATCTTGAGACAAAATTGAGTCAATCTGCAGAGACTATGAGTTGTCAGGTGTTTTAGCTCTAGAAATACTTAAAATTCCACTATATGTTATTATAGTTTATAGTTTTATGTAGTCCTTATTCATTTAGTTTTCTTTTCCTTCCCCCATTATTCATTGCATTTCTGTGGTGTCATCTGGAGATCAATTTTGGGAGCTTGAAGAGCTATCTTTAATACTCTATAAGTCTAAATCTGCTAGTGACAAATTCTCAGAGTTATTATTTTTTCCCTTCTTATTTTGCTTTCTTTCTTTCTTTTTTTTCTATAGGGTGCATGAGAGACAGAGAGAGACAGAGAGAGAAGGAAATCATACCCTGGGGGGATGGCTTGGCCATAGTTCCTTCTCCTCCATTATCCTCTTGGGATTTGAGGCATGCACACACACACATACACACTTGGTGTGGTTTTGAAGCTATCGGGTCCAGTACTAAAACTGTGCAGTTGGCTATGTGGGATCCAGTGCCTTAACCTCCAGATTCTTGCTGGCCTTCGCTTTGATTCTGAAGAATATGTTTTGGGGGGTATGTACTTTTAAATTGACAAGTATTTTGCCTTTTTTTTTGTTTTTAGTGGGGGTGGGCATCAATTCTCTAAATATGTTACTTCATTTTCCTTTTATTTCCCTACTCTTTGCTTCTCTCTTACTTTCTCTCTGGGATCTAGGTCTCTTAAGTCCTCAGTGCCTTGGTAGCTTTCTGAGCCTTCAAACACATTAAGGATAGAACTCTTCAGCCTTTCTGGTTGATCCCAAAAGGAAACACAAATTTCTATATAAATATATACTATACACATACATATATGTGTGTACATTTGTGTATATTCATTCTATATATACTATTTTATTTCATTCCCTAAATAAATGCTTATGGCTGATATATAGAAATGCAAATGCTTTGTCTTTATAGCATTTAATTTTTTTTTTTTTTTTTTTTTTTTTTTTTTTTTTTTTTTTTTAGAGTTTTTTTCTTCACCAAGAGACAAACGTCCTCTGCCTCCTTCTCTCCCTGTCTTGGTGAATGGGATCACCAAACAGAAACCTGGCCACTATCTCTGACACATTTGTCACCCTTTAGCTCTGTCCAGTCATCTTGAGACAAAATTGAGTCAATCTGCAGAGACTATGAGTTGTCAGGTGTTTTAGCTCTAGAAATACTTAAAATTCCACTATATGTTATTATAGTTTATAGTTTTATGTAGTCCTTATTCATTTAGTTTTCTTTTCCTTCCCCCATTATTCATTGCATTTCTGTGGTGTCATCTGGAGATCAATTTTGGGAGCTTGAAGAGCTATCTTTAATACTCTATAAGTCTAAATCTGCTAGTGACAAATTCTCAGAGTTATTATTTTTTCCCTTCTTATTTTGCTTTCTTTCTTTCTTTTTTTTCTATAGGGTGCATGAGAGACAGAGAGAGACAGAGAGAGAAGGAAATCATACCCTGGGGGGATGGCTTGGCCATAGTTCCTTCTCCTCCATTATCCTCTTGGGATTTGAGGCATGCACACACACACATACACACTTGGTGTGGTTTTGAAGCTATCGGGTCCAGTACTAAAACTGTGCAGTTGGCTATGTGGGATCCAGTGCCTTAACCTCCAGATTCTTGCTGGCCTTCGCTTTGATTCTGAAGAATATGTTTTGGGGGGTATGTACTTTTAAATTGACAAGTATTTTGCCTTTTTTTTTGTTTTTAGTGGGGGTGGGCATCAATTCTCTAAATATGTTACTTCATTTTCCTTTTATTTCCCTACTCTTTGCTTCTCTCTTACTTTCTCTCTGGGATCTAGGTCTCTTAAGTCCTCAGTGCCTTGGTAGCTTTCTGAGCCTTCAAACACATTAAGGATAGAACTCTTCAGCCTTTCTGGTTGATCCCAAAAGGAAACACAAATTTCTATATAAATATATACTATACACATACATATATGTGTGTACATTTGTGTATATTCATTCTATATATACTATTTTATTTCATTCCCTAAATAAATGCTTATGGCTGATATATAGAAATGCAAATGCTTTGTCTTTATAGCATTTAATTTTTTTTTTTTTTTTTTTTTTTGCTACAGAGTGTATTTACTCACCAGAGAGAGACAAAGAAAGAAGGAAAGTGAAAATTCACCCCCCCACCCCGGGAGATAGCCGTGCTGCAATTCCTTCTTTACTTTCTCTTCCCAGGATTTTGGGTATGCATACACATGTGCCCAACTTGAACCTTACAGTTGGCCATGTAGAATCCAGTGTTAACCACCACTCCACTTGCTGGCCTGTATAGTTGCTTCTAAATCAGCATACATTCACAACAAAAATGATTAGAAGTGCCACATTGGGCATTTTTGTCTTATTCCTATTTTTTATTTCAACATTTCACTATGTTTGATTAAGTGTTTGATATTTGCATTTTGAGTGTCTTCTAGTATATTGAGGAAGTTCTTTTCTAAAAATAAAGTTTGCTAAGTCTTTTTAGCATCAATGTCTGTTAAATTACTGTCAAAGAATTATTGTTAAAGACTTTTTCTGATTTATTGATGTATTTATGTTATTTATTTTGCTTTTATCTTTAAATATGATAAATTACATAAATATACTTTCCAAAGTTAAACCTTCCTCCCATTACTGGCTTAAATCCAACTGGGTCATATATAGACTGCATTTTTATACATAACTCTGTTACATTGTAGATAAGAGCACAAAATAATATAATCACTGAAAAATTTTAAAAGTTATTCATTTCATTTTATTTATTATTATAATTATTTTAATTCACCAGAGAGACAGAGAGAGAGAGACAGACAGAGAGAGAGAGAGAGAAAGTGAGAAAGCAAGCCACCAGGTCCAAGACTTGAACTGTGGTCAGCCATGTGGGAGTCTAGCATCTTAACCACCATGTCACCTGCTGGCCCCTATAATCACTTTGGAAAGGAATATGGTTTCATTTTTGTTTGTTTTCTTTTGTGTCTACTTATTCCTTAAGCCCAAGCAATTCAATTTGGGTATATCACAGAGGTCTTCTCATTCAGGTCCATAAAGAACCACAAAATTTTATTTCAGTTTATTGCATAGCTCTATGTGTAGTTATAAAGAACTAGATAGACTTCTTTTTTCTTTTTAGGCTTTTGCCATAGGGCACATGCATTTGACAGAGAGAGACACAGAGAGAAACAGAAAGAGGGAAAGTGAGAAACCATCCCCTGGAGCATGACCACACTGCAGCTTCTTCTACTCCATTCTCCTCTTGGGATTTGGGGCATGCATATACAAGCCATCAGGTTCAGGACTTGAACCACAGTCAGCCATATGGGAGCCCAGTGTCTTAAATAGTATACCACCTGCTGGCCCCAGAATTAGATAGACTTTAATATATATTACTATGAAATGGCTAAGAGAAATGCAGTAGTTGTGTATTATTACAGACAATCCAACAGAAGCCACTAATAGAAGCCACTCATTAGATTGATACTCAGTTTGGAGGGCTCTTAAAAACAGTGCTAAGTTGGGACAAGCAGATGGTGTAAGGGTTATGTCACTGACTCCCACATAGTTGACCACAGTTGAAGTCCCAGACCCAGCAGCTTAAAACTCATGCTGGACATGTGTGCATGCATGCCCCAAATCCTAAGAGGAGAATGAAGGAGAAGGGATTGTGACATGGCCATCCCCCTGGGGAGGAGAGTCATTTCTTTCTTTCTGTCTCTCTGGTGAGTGCATGCACCCTATAGCAAAAACCTCTCTTAAAAAATAAGTAAAAATGAAAACCAGCACTTAATGAAAAAGGTAATAAGAATTTTACATCTTCATCACAAAATTCTGCAGATAAGAAATGTACATAGGAAGCAATACAAGGATATACACCTATTCACAATCATTAATCAAAAGAACCATTCTGCTTCTCTGACTTTATGACTTGTCCTGCTACCCACCTGGCATATCTTGCCCGGCACCAATCCAGACTCTAATCAGTCAGCCCCCAGGTTGGAGCTATCTCTGCAGAAAACTTTCCAGAATAACTCTAGATCACATTGGTTTTTCACACTTCTGAATTCCTGGCCCATTTACACATTTTCCATCCAGACAACGTCACCTATGAAACAAGGCAAAGGAATATCAGCTGTAAGGAGGCACTTCTGACATCCTTCTCCCTGCCTCTATCCAGAGGTTAGGCTGTGTGGTATGCCCCTGCTTGCTTGCTATGACTGCTGGGCACTTTGGCTGGCTGGTCATTAGGAAAATACTTACCTTTGGGTCTTGTCATAGTTGAAATAAGCCTGTCCTTGTCGGAAAGAGGTTCTCAGTATCCTTTACAATTTCTTTCACCTATTTTTCTTTTGGACTTTCCTTCTTTTCTTCTCTTTCTCTTGCCTGAGAGAAGATCTTGGCAGAGAGATACCGTCTTTCTAATCCCTTGTTCTTTTCTTTTTTCTCTCTCAGAGTGATCACAGGCAAGATTGGATCTAGGGAGTGGCAGAACCTAGCTAGTAAAACCTAGTAAAACCATGGTTTTACTCACTCACCTGTTTTAATGACCTCCTCCACCTGAACAGATGGAAAAGTACCTGTGAATTTTTAACTGGCTCTTGTGAACATGTTTATTTTCATTGATCTATATGTAGTGTCGTTTAGTTTCTTATTATCTTGGGGGCGTATATTTGAAGACCAATAAAGAAGTGTGATTAGATGGTGGTATAATTCCACAGGTCCTATCAACTGGATGTTTCTTCCAAACTCCTGGAGATTCCTGTTTCTTTCCCCATACAATACCAGAGACTCTTGGGGATGGAATTCTCTTAGGTCTAAGACAGCTAGGGTCCTTGAGGTTATAGTGAGAAAATACCCCTGGTGACTCTACTGTATCAACTGACTTTCCTCTAAAAACCTGGAGTCTCGAGACAACTCCATGTGAAAGAATATATTGTCAATGGATACCATGCAGGGAAGATGAGGGTTGAGATATTCCTATCCGTTTGAAAAGGACCTCTAATAGACCCAGCCCTATAGCCTAGTGGATAAGGAAGTTGGATCCCACTTGACTGCCTGCGATTTGAATCCTGGCTCTAGCAGCTGGAAAAACACGCTGGTGTCTGTGTGCACATGCTCCAAATCCCAACCGGATGGAGAAATGGAAGAGAGGGAATTGGAGCATGACCACACCCATTTGGGGGATGTTTTCTTACTCTCTCTGTCTCTCCTTGGAGAGGGCACACACTGTCTAGCAATTAGGAAGAAAGAAAAAGAAAGAAAAGGATCTCTAATAAAGGGAAGGATTGTTTGCTCTGTGGCCTAAGAAAAAGGATGCAGTTCACTTTCTTGCTGAAGAGGCTCTTCTCTGTGGATCATCTCCTCCCTCCCCCCAGCACTTGCACTTTTGTCACGTGACTACTCAGCTCTGAAACATCGTTTTCTCTCTCTTTCCTTTTTAAAGATTTGTTGCCGGTGTTCCAGCAGCTCCGGCAGAGGGAGGAGTGGTAGGATCTATCTGCTCAACTCCGCTAGGGCTCTAGGCACACCATGGCCCCCAGGCACCCAGCAGGCACCCTGTCCACAGCCAAGATGCCCAAGAGGAAGGTCAGCTTAGCTGAGGGAGTGGCCAAGGAAGAGTCCAAGAGGAGATCAGTGAGGTTGTGGGCTAAACCTGCACCTCAAAAGACAACAGGGAAGGATAGATCTTCAAACAAAAATGCAAACAAAAGGGAAAAGGGGAGCAAAGGGGAAACAGGCTCAAGTGACCGAGACACTAAAGAACATTTACCTGCAGAAAATGGAGAAAAAATGAGGAGAGTCCGCCCTCTGATGAAGCAGATGAGAAAGAAGTTAAGTCTAGTCTGAGTAATGTCATATCCCATGTCTTGTCAACGGGCCCTGTCTCCCTTCTTGTACAATCCAGAGGAATATTTTATCAACTATTTTGTAAATGCAAGTTTTTTAGTAGCTCTAGAAACATTTTTAAGAAAGAGGGAATCCCACCTCATCCCATTTTTAAATTTTCTTAATTTATTTTTTTATTTTATTTATTTATTTTTTGGGGGAGAGGCTTTTGCTATATGGCGCGTGCGCTCGCCAGAGAGACAGAGAGACAGAAAGTGAGAAATCATCTCCCAGGGGGGATGGCCATGCCACAATCCCTTCTCCTCCATTCTCCTCTTGGGATCTTGGGCATGCACGCACACGTGCCCGGTGTGAGTTTTAAGCCGCCGGGTCCGAGACATGAACCGCAGTCAACTACATGGGAGTCCAGGGACATAGCCATTACGCTAACTGCTGGTCCTCCTCATCCCATTTTTAAAATGTAAATTTTTTTTTTTTTTAAGAGGTGAAATCATTTACTGGTTGTTTATTTTTTGGTACAACCAGAATAGTGAGATATGACTTGCAGGAGGCTTTGACTCTCAGTTTAACGTTCCATAGGTGGGGGTGGGTGGGCAGTTTTTATGTCCTAAATACAAAGCTTGCTAAATGGCAGTTTGGAGTCACAGTCATGCATTTAATATATCTTGAATGTTTTAAATTACTTCTACTATGTTTTTAGTAGTATTGTTTCCTAAAGAAACCCACTCCTTGTTGCTCTCACTGTCAGAATTGTGTGCACTCTGTAATGTCTTCGGTCGTGGTCATCCAGTTTTCCTAATAATTTTATTAATGTGCTGTGAAAGATTGGAAACTTGAGTATGTAGTGTGTATGATACTAAATTGTGATTTGGTGGGACTTGATATCCTCTTAAGGAAAGTTTGCCTACAAATTTCAGGCTGTCACTGAATAACTTAAAAAGAATTTCAGGAATGTCACTGGAATAACTTAAAAAGAATCGTGATACTTGGCTTCTAAAATTTTTGGTACATATGTTAAGAATTGGTCAGAGACCGGGAGAGGGGAAGTGAGAAATCACCCCTCCCAGGGCAATCGTCACGCCACAATCCCATCTCCTCCCATTTTTCTCTTGGGATTTTGGACACACATACACATGTGCCCAGTGTGATTTTTCAAGTCACCAGGATTTGAATCAGTCTGCCATGTGGGAGTCCTGTACCTTCACCACTATGCCACCTGCTGGCCCCCCATAACTCTCTTTCAAAGCCTCTCTCTTTTTTAAAATTAGGTTTTCTTTTCTTTTCTTTTCTTTTTTTTTTTTTGGAGAGATTTTCACTGTAGGGCGCGTGTGCTCGCCAGACAGACAGAGAGAGACATAGAGACAGAAAGCGAGAAATCACCCCCCAGGGGTATGGTCACGCCGCAATCCCTTCTCCTCCATTCTCCTCTCGGGATCTTGGGCATGCACGCACACGCGCCCGGCGTGAGTTTTAAGCCACTGGGTCCGGGACACGAACCACGGTCGACTACGTGGGAGTACAGCGACATAGCCATTACGCTAACTGCTGGCTCCCAGGTTTTATTTTCTTAGAACATTTTTAGGTTCACAGCAAAATGGAGGAGAAAGTACAGAGGGTTCCTGTCCATGCCCAAGTCTGTGCCTATACCAGTTTTTAAGATTTGTTTCTTAAGATCACAAGTGACACGTGTTTAACAACCAGTCCTGCTGCAATGCTCCCCAAACTATCAGTAGTGAAAGGCAAGTTATTCATTTATGTTTTTAATTTCCAAACTGTGATCTGCCACTACTCTTGAAAATGCAATAAAGATCTGCATAAATGTCATGGCCACGGGAAATTGCCTTGAAAGTTTTGAGGGCTTGCTCGCGATTTCTGCGCTTCCCTTGATGAGGACCAGTAACATGCCTTCTGTCATAGACCCTGGGCTGAGGATCACAGTTTGAGATGAATTGCTGTAAGTGAAAGGCTATGTAAGAAACGAGGATCAGGACCAGCAGTTGGCATAATGGCTATGTCGCTGGACTCCCATGTAGTCAACTGTGGTTCAAGTCCTGGACCTGGTGACTTAAACTCATGCCAGGTGCATGTGTGCGCGTGCCCACGATCCCAAGAGGAGAATGGAGAAGGGATTGCGGTGTGGCCATCCTCCCTGGGGGTGATTTCTCACTTTCTGTCTCTCTCTGTCTCTCTCTTTCTGAAGAGCACACGTGCCAAAAAAAAAAAAAAAAAAAAAAAAAAAAAAAGAAAAGAAAAGAAAAGAGGATGGAAGAAAATCACCCCAAGGCAAATTACAGTACAAAGTTCGCCAGTGGGAAGCTTGAGAAGCCAGGGCAGTCCTTCACTGGGCATTCTGATATTCCTATGCATGCTTTCATGTTACAGATGTTTGGCATAGAAGGAGAACAGCAGTTTTTATGGCATTGATGAATTCAATAATGCATATAATAATGAAGAATTCAACTATTACACTGCACAGTTTATTCATCCAACATTTATCTAGTACCTATTGTGTTTTTGTTTCTGTTTTTTTTTTTTTTTTGAGAGGGTTTTTTGTTTGCTTTTTTTTGCTATAAGGTACATGCTCTCACCAGAGAGACAGAGACAGACAGAGAGAAAGTGAGAAATCACCGCCTGGGGGATGGCCATGCCGTTCTCTTCTGTTCTCCTCTCAGGATTTTGGGCATGCACACACACGCCCCCCCCCCAACATGTGTTTTAAGCCACCGGATCCAGGACTTGAACCATGGAAGCCACCGGGTCCGGGACTTGAACCGCGGTCGACTACATGGGAGTCCAGCGACATAGCCATTACGTTAACTGCTGGTCTCCGTATTGTGTTTTAGGTGCTAGAGATACAAACATGAATAATAATGTATTTTCCCTGCTCTTGTCTAAGAATAATAATAAAAAATATATAAATTAAAAAGAAGTAATTGGACACTGGACAGCAAGAAAGTTAAGAAGGACAAAAGGTAAATCGTGCATTATATGAAAAGTGTTAGTTCTATACAGTGATCAATGCACCCTCAACAAACATGAAACAAAAATAATCCAACAACAAAAGAATCTTCATAGTCCAGTGATCCTGAGGGTAGCGATCTTGACCCCATTAACAAATTTGTTCTTAGGACATCCCATCCAACTCACTTGCCTCCCAGAAACTGTGTTCCTATGTTTAGGCATTCTCTGAGGACAACATACCCTCTAGTGATTCACCTTTCAAGTGTCAGGCACAGATTGAAGATGGCCTAGTCTTCTATATATAGGAATATGATCTGAGTATAAGAAGTTGTTACAAGATAGCAAAATTGGGACCAACAGGTGGTGTGGTCGTTAAGGCACTGGACTCCCACATGGCCAACTATGGTTCAAGTACCAGACTTGGTAACTTGAAATTTACATGAGGCACAAGTGCATGCATGCCCAAGATCCCTGGAGAAGGGATTACAGGTGGCCACAAAACAAAACAAAAGAATAAATAAATGAAAATAGCAAAACTAATTAGTAAGTGTGCTCTCCCGAAGTTTGTATAATGAATACGTTAAAATAGACATTCCAGAATCCTCTTTTTAAATATTTAGCACTTTGCCATTCCTTCTCATCCCCACCTTTTTGTATCATTATGGTTTACAGGTATCTTTTTTAACA